TAGGGACGATGAAAAGGCAACGACGGGTGTCCCTATCTTTTCGGATCCTTACTGTTACGTTCAGTCGGACAGCGCACAAATGACTGTCTACTGGGATCCACTCTAAGAGAGCTAGTTCTGCCCTAGGACTCAATGCTATACCTACGCCGGCGAGGCCACGGGAAGCAGCATCTGGGCTTTCAGATACACGAAGTATGAATCGAGTCGGTTCTTTAGTTTGGCATGGTGAGGTCAAATGAATGACGCTACTCGGATCCTGTATGCGCGTTTCGGAGACGCAGCACACATCGATGGTGCGGGATTCTAAAGTCCTAGCTAAGGAAGTATGCTGTCCTATTTGGCACAGTGTTCGGACGTTGAAAACTCTTACGTGTACTTTAGAGCGTGGTTTCAGGAGACCAGAAATGGCGTTCCGCGTACTCGAATCGTTTGCCCTAGTGGTGCGAGGTGATAAAGAGACGTGAGGAGGGCTAGTCATGGAGATAAGAGAGGTATTAGGAGGTTTAGGAAGGATTTGAATGTGACCAACTTGGTCTCGTGTGCTGTTATGGGTATGACGGTTGATATCACTTCCCGGTTGCCCACACCGTGGAAGGGTATTTCTTGAGTAACCTGAAAAGAAAATTAGATTAGTGTTGGTCTTAACGACCTGAGAGCGTGACCGCAGAGCCCAAGGGACAACTGCTTGAGGCCGGTCGTGCACGGCTTTTCGTGGAAGGTTTTAATGTGTTAGCTCCGTTCTTCAAAGGGCCTTATCGCCAGAGACGGAAATCCGTGAGGTAAGGTGAGGTGTGACATTTTTAAGGTCAACCTTTTCTAACCCCACCCCTCCTTGTGGGAAGGCAGCATCGCTGCAGATGCTGGTTGTCTGAGGGAAACCTTACTGTCGTCACACCCCTCTACAGTCAGCAGTACGACTTCGCCCTCAGACCTTGAGTTGCTGCTTTTAGTTTTACCCTTCTCCAATCGACCTGCCTGGCATGGTAGAACCTACAGGAACATATGTTCCAGCCAATATAGCTCGGTTGGGTCCTCATGATAGGCAAGCCCGACCACCGCGTCAAGGTAGCAGCTTCGGTCGGGCCACTAACTTCTGGTCTGAGTCATGTTGGTAGGTGCAGATTACTTGGTTGGGGTCCGTGTGATTATCGTAACAAATGGTTGGAGACTTTGAGTGACATGGCTCAGAATCGATCACAGTGGCGTAGGTGTATACACTCTTTGTCTTCCCTTAAACTATGAGACTAAAATTATTTCATATCTTTCATCCTACCAACTAATTCTTTATTTCTGTACTATATCCTTACATAAAATCTTTCCTTTATATATTACACCATTGAGTTAACTGCTATGAATCCGGTGTTCGTGTTGCAGTGCTAATGAGGTGTGGCAACTTGGACCGATGCATGTATGTGCCTGGTCCTACGTTATAACTGACTGACAATTGACTCCTCGATGAGTAACCCTTACTGGTACATGAGTCGGCTAGAAAGAAGCAGATAGTTTGCATATCAAGACATAACATCAGTACATTAGGTCTGTATCCTAGTTAAGGCTAGGGCAATAATCATAATGAATAGTTGATGACACCGGCTGACATGACACCGTTGGTTGCACTAATGCATTCTCATCCATACTCTATCTTCCGACCAATCTTAAGTATAGTGTTATTCCACACTTTCCATTCTCTTATGCGTTCCTTCCCAACAACTGTTTATCTTTCCAGCACCGTTGGTTTTACCATCTTCTGTGCTCCCCACCCTGTTGGTCTTGTCCTGCTTTGTAGATAGGAAGCCTGGAAACTAGGGCCGGGGATTATTCGTGCTGGGTTTCACTTTGTGTATGTTTCCTCGTCTAATTAACCTGAATGCCAGTATGTCCTAAAGAGGACCCGAACTGCTCAGTTCGATGTGGATAACATTGGATGTCTCAATAAATAAAGTTTGTTCATTTTTTATCTCTTCACTTCTCGTTTTGTGATGCTAGGTAACAACACGGTTATGCCTAACCTCCCTTTCTATAAACTGATTGATGAAAAATTGTCAAAATCTATAATACGGTCCGTCGTGTGAATTTATTCCGAAACAGTTCGTATATGATTTTCATATGACGACAGTTACTTAACGTCTTTTGATTGTCATTGCCAAATCTGATTATCTTCACATTATCATTTCTTAGTCCGAGTTTCCGTCTTCCAAATATTGAATCGCAAGCTTAAATAGGACTTCGTCCACTTCAGTTTTAGTAGCCAACTATCACTACTGGCGCTTCTACGAGAGTCCAGCTTTTAATTATAAAATTTAAAAAAAACTATATCACTTGTTTTGTTAATTTCATAACAAATACAAGTCTTTGGTATAATTGGAGACCAAGAATAAAATGAGAGGTAATAAAATCAATAAATATCAAAAATGATATTTCAATCAGCCAGTCAGTCATGCGCAACGTAAAAACTGAAACATATGTGCGTCGATTTAAGTTGTTACACAAAAACAGTATTTACTAAAAAGATACAGTCCAATTAAGAAAACAACTAAAATAGAATACGTCCGGTTAAAGTGTTTATTACCTTTGTGAATAATAAAACAAAACTAATAAAGCATTAGTATATTGGTAAATACTAGGTGATAATCTCAGCCCTACTAGAGGGAGAGAGACCAGTCAGTGCTTAGAGCCCAGTGGTAACGCTCCAGATTTTGACTCTGAGGAGTGCTATTTATCGCCACACGAGAAGCACCACTTCCCTCATGACTTCAGATATCCGTCGCTGACGAGTGCCACCTAGATCGAAACTTATGTCCTGAGTGTCATGTTGATTTCTTTCAACATCCTAACTATATACCCACTGGATTCTTCTCTAGAGTATGTCTGATATCTCAAACAGTTGATGTGCATGGTCTTTAAAACAGTTTTGAGGAACTCGGGTTAGAGTAATTAGTTCTTACCTAACAAAAATATCCTGTGTTTCATAAGACCGAGTCATAAACGTACCAATCTCCAATTGTCTTCACTCAGGATTATTAAGTAATGCCCCCAAACGCCCTGGTACGGCCGAGAGTGGGGATAGTCCGTTCTCCCTCTCGAAATGCTCTCACACGGCCTCGCGTATATAGCCTCTGCCAGGGAAGTCCTATTCACTGCCTTCTCGCGGCGGGGGTGTTGTTTACGAAAATGAGAGGACGAAGAGCGAATGTCCGGCGCTTTAACCGGATCCCAAACCAATGGTGCACATGGGCTCCAGTATCCTGCGGAAACAAATAGCGTATGAACCAATTTTCGGTCACCCGCCACCATGGGACTGCATCTCCTTACGATGCTCCACTGCCTTGTAGGTTAGACCTTTAGGTCAAGGGCTCGGGGAGTGGCCTCCTAAGATAACCACCTGCTTCGGTCTGGGCACCCGGGCAGTATCACAGCCTTCACACACATCGAATGAGATTTGTGTGGCGCATATGCATTTGGTGCCTCTTTGTACCAATATCTATGTGTTGAAATAAATAAATAAATAAAGTAATGCACTGCATAAAAATGTCTAGGACGTCATTTTTGAAACATGCATTGAATAATTAAACCGGTGTTGGATGTTTGAATCTAATCGTGAGTGCAGTCAATGTTCTGAAATTAATCTATTTACTATGATAAGTTTGACGATCATCAAAATGTACAGATGACTCAAGTGCATTCTGGAGCATACCAGAGTCTGAATATTTTCCTCAAAATACTTGGCAGTCTTTTGCACATCCACACCATCGCCAGTTGGTGGTTGCAACGTGATCACTTTGAGTCCAGGCTTAATTAGAGGGGAGAGAAAACGACAGGTAATATATTGGGAATGGCTCATGAAAGTTGGGGCTGGCCGGAAATGGGTTTTGATCTGAATAATGTGATTCTTTTATTCAACCTACGACCAGTAAGTCCTGATTGTTTATCGGAACGACTCTTTGTTCGTAATTGCCTGATCTTTACACTCACTCCCCAGAGAGCACCATTATATCCGTTGAACATCTTTTTTGAGGTCATGTAATTGTTATTGTAATTTATTCTTTATTGTATCCGAGCTCTAGTTTATCGAAGCATAGGTGTAGATTGCAAAATAGCACAGTTTCCGATGTCAGTTCTTTTCACACTGATGTAAGCTGTTAACCTTACAGCACATAAACTACCGGTAATGAGAACTTGCTCTGTTAGGAATTTCTCCTAACTGAAGTTAAGTTTGACTTCGCACCCCGTTGACACTCAATCCTTGGTTATGCTCACATGAGACATACTTTTCGAGTCGACAACAGGTGGATTTTTAGTGTTTCATTAGAGTTATGAATGGCATTTTTTGAAGTACACCAAAAATCCTACTTGTTGATCACCCAGAAAATCGGCCAGACCATTTAAACAGAACAGAACTTTTGGAAAAGACAAGCCGTGGGGTCGGGCTAGTGTTAATATTTGCTTGCTGGATGATTTGTAGTTTGCGTTAAATCAATGACAGTCGTTCATGTGTATAGTTCCCCAACCTTTTTTTATACTCTGGGTATCTTATTATGCAACAATCGTCTATTATTTACTTTAACGCTGTTTTATCGATTTTTTCTTTGTATGCTCTTGCAAAGTGTGATAACTCATAATGACACTCCTTTTTGTGATATTCAATATTTTTACACTGTTTTTTTGAAATTTCAACTATCTCGTCCTTACATATAAAAATTAGTAGCTGTCTTAAGCATCAAAAATCTGTGTAATATATTTTAGGCTAAGGTAATGGTGTCTTTGGTACTTCGGCTCTATTTTTAGATGATTTTCTTAATCCTGAAACATTGTACTGATTGTCGCCTCATTAGGTTTTTGTTTGTTAATAGTTTCCCTTTGTTTCGATCACGGGGTCGTAGACTAATGTATGACTTATTGTATTTCTAACTGTTAATATTGATTTATGCCCTTGATATCGTATACTATTCATAATTAATCGTTGGTATTACGTATTTAATGGTTTCTGTTTTATTTTTCAGGGTTTCGGACCTAACCCGAATACTTTAGCCGATGATATATCATCAACAGACTCACTGACCAATGTGCCTATTAACCCACGGCCACACCATCTTTCGGAGTACGAGTTTAACGATCCAATTGATATTAAGCCTCCTAAAATTTCCGAATATCCATCAAAGCCTAGTTTTGGTATGACAAGATCTGGTCCATCACCAGTTGAGGAGCCTATGCGCCCTTGTAGATCGTACTCACCTGCATCCAGTTCAGCTGGTGGCAACACACTAAGCAGAGCAAGCTCACCACCTAATTCAATTGGTCCTTGCCTGTTTGATGTCAAAAAAGAACAAGCTGCTCTTGAGGCTGAACAAGCCGCTCATGATGGTGATGATGAGTGTGAAGAAGAAGAAAATATTCCTAAAGCTAGCTTATCAACAGAACCAAAGCTCTGCTCTCGTGAAACTAAACAATCCAGGCGGTCCGTTTTACGAACTGTTTCTTTAAATTCATCTTGTTCATCTCAGAGCCGCCGAAGTCACCGAGAAGATAGATTACGCTGTACTTCCTCCATGTCACCTTTAAAGCGAAAGAAACTGACTAGTGGTTCTAGTCGCGGTAATTGCATAGGTTTATCCTCTCTTCCACGTGGTTGTCAGTCAAAATGTAGAATATCAAAAGAAATAAACTCTTTAATGTCTCCTACTAGTTACCGTTCCTTACGCAGTGGCAGCGACAAGTATGTCGCTAATGTAACGAAATCCAAAAAATCATCAAAACGATTCAAAAAGTTCTCTAGTCAGTTGGATGCAAACTTAAAACCACAAAAACGTCAACGATTTGAAGAATTACCGAAGTCTAATTGTAAACAGCGACTGCAAAATGGACAAGAGTATGAAGAGTCTATAATGGCAAACGAAAAAGTTATCTACAATAAGAGTTCTTTTTCTAGTAATATCAATTGTAGCATCTCTACTAATCATTACACTTTTCCTGATGATGAGCCAAAAATACATTCATCACCAGATCATAAAGATTCTACTTGCTCTGTATCTATATCCCAGACACATCCACGTTTATCAACAGAATCTAAAAACACTAGTGCAATGACAGATAGCAGTGGAGCTACTGCCTTAGAAATGTCTAGCTAATTAATTTCTGTTTTGTTTTCTTTTTCTAGGAATTATTTTCGTGTGATGATAGTTTTTACTCTGATTGTATAAAATTGTCTAATTTGTTTCCTTTACTAACGTTTTTTTTAAAAAGAAAGTAACTAATCATTATATTTCATCGAGAAATTTTACTTAAAAGACTAAAATATTAAAATGATGCACTGAATAAGGTCTAATGTCCGCTATGTATGAAATGTATTTAATGCAAACCTGTCATATCTTGTTGTTGTAGGTATCAAATAAGAAATATCTATCAATAAAGGAAGTCACTCTTTAGTGCCTTTAATACTTTATACACATAGTGTAACAATTACACTTCTTATTTTTTCGATATTTACCGTGTTGTAAATGTACATATATTATCAAATCTTTAAAAAAAGTCAAATATGTGAATATTCATGTAGGTGTATTATATTTCTCTATTTTTAACTTTCCTCTTTGTTTTTGTTCACATTTCACATTCAACGAAGGCAATGTGCTGTGCACATATTTATGGTCTCCAATTAGAAAATTTATTGTTTAGCTACCAATTATAATGTTAAAAATTCTTTGTTTATTTCATTCTACCAAGTTTTTTTCCGAAGTTTCTATTACTATTTTTACCATTATTGTTATTATTATTATTCGGAAAACACTTGATCCTGTTTATCATATTTTGTTGTTTTTAATATAATGCAAAATTATTTTATGAAGTATGATTGATCTCAACTAATAATCTTCTTTGTTCTTCCTCTATTGTCGTTTATTGTTTTTGTTTTTCACTTTTCCCATATACATATATATTTGTAAAGTTTTTATACATAAATGTATAGTTCTAATGTTATTACAATGCTATCGTAATACACACCATGTTGTATTGTTCTGCGCCTTATTTGAATTTTTATTGATGCCTTGATTGTTGACTTATTAATAAGAGGAATATGATGTTTTAAAGTTCTAGCGCTAGTGTCTTCTATTGCTTACTGTTAACTTGACTTTTGTTCGTCATTTAGAGATTGTAATGTATATGAAGTAGTAATTACAGATTGGATCTGGTTAAATGTGTTATGTTATTAGACAGTTCATCACAGTATTCTGACGGTCATATGTATTAAATTATATTTTTTCAAACTTGAAACTATCGTCTAGTAGTGGTTCATGTACTCGATTGTCTATCATTTCGTGATTGATTCAAATCAACTTCACCTCATTTGTTACCACTGACTATAAATGTTAAATAAAAGCTTAAAAATGTAGCATTTAAGAAACTATTATACTGTCTACAATTTATTCGTATTTTCAAAGAAGTGCATATGTTGATTCACCAGTTAATTCACAACTGTGATATTTTTGGTAGCTAGTCTGTGTCATATCTTGAGTTTTACTTGCTTTTTTGTCATGGGAAGTTATTTCAGATTGTCCTAAATGATATGAGTGAGGAACTTAGCTATTCAACTATCTATTCATGATTATCAGTCTCTTTACGTTATGACAGTATCTTAGATGCATTGCAGAGAATATTGAACGAGAGTCGGGTGTACTTATTATAATTTGATAAAACGGCAGCTTTGTTTGAAAATGGCGCTTCCTAGAACTATATAAATATTAATTTATCTAGGCTTGTAGTCTTTCGTAGTCTTATCTGTTTTATTTTAATTCATATAGGGTGAGGTGTATTAATTCATAAATAACTACTAAGTTGTATATCATGTTAGTGTTCTTAGAAATAGCTGCGTGCACGTTTTTCTGTGGTTTTGGTTTGCTTCAAGAAATCAACTTAGTGGGGTGGTAGCTTATTACTCTTTAACAAATAGGTCTCGGGTTTGGATCTTATTCCATATACTTTCATCCGTCCAACCATATAGTATCATCAGCTTTTGTACACGGAAATGATGGCTCGATAGCAATCACATAAACCTGTACTTGGTATATGATTCAAATGACTGAAATAATCATCCTAATATTTATGTAGCAGTAATATACGTTGGGATTTTATGTAATGGATGAATGTGCGAAAAATTGATAGAAAGTAATTAGCATGAACCCATTATAGCTCCAAAAACAGTTTAAGTGTTACTGTCTCCATCTAAAACCCCATTGGACTTTTGTAGGGCAATAGTTGGTATATCAAATCTGAATTTATCAGTTCATTTCATGAAAAGTAAATACCTGCACCGTTGAACCGTTCTATTTTTTGTCTTTGTGTATACAGACTACCTGGTAATATTAGAGGTTATAAACTTGGAATTTTAGCTTGGCGACTGCCATACAAATGACTCATCGTCAGTTTCGCTGAATTTAACTTTATCTGTACTAACTGTTCTATCGTTATGAACTTCAACTTCTGGTATTCTGATCTATTGCTAGTCCGATTGTTCAAGTTAACGTTCAATCTGTATATTTTTAGTCATTTTAGTGATGTATTTTTCAGATCTTATTTATAATTTGTTACATATTTAATACATATGTATATGTTTATCTTGACTTGTAGACTAACCATAATACAAGTTTATTGGAATTAAAAGGGTTTCAGGTATGTCATATTTTATTGTTTCTTGAGATGATTTGCTGATGACTTCTTTATTTGTTACCAATTTGAAATCAGTCTGACGTGTTCATAAGCTTTCATAAGTAATTTGATAAGCGATTGCTTTGATGGACATAATCACTTTTGGTGAATATTCTTAAGTATAACTTTTTAAATGACGACAGAAAATTATTTGATTATGTCGTCTGTGTGCGTAAATTATGACGACTGATATACAATCGACCACTATCTACTTTAGAAACCATTACTTACTAGATTATTGGCATAAAAAAGTGATCAGAGATGATCTCACTTGTATCTTTTACATAAGATTTCCTGATTATAAATATACTTTCTGCTATAACCCAATGAGTAGAAGAGTTGTATTCCTGATGTTTCGTAACTTAATATGTAAGCCACTTCTTCAGAGTGAATAAATAACCGAATTAAATTAACACAAGTTCACATTTGTGTAAGTTTATTGATGACATCTTAGTTAGAAGGTGTTTGTGCTCAAAATGTAACTTTAGCACTGCTTCATTCGTATATAGGATATTAATATTTGATTAAATGCTCCAAAATGTTAATTAATCTTGTGTATTCCACCATTATTATTATTATTATTATTATTATTATTATTATTATTATTATTATAGATCTCACAAATTGCTGCTGATCCTATAGGACGTTGTGTTGCATTATGTGGGTGAGTTATATATATATATATATATATATATATTATATATATATATATATATATATATATATATATATATATATATATATATATATATATATATATATAATCGTAGGGGAATATTTTCTAATACGAAATGGAAAAAAGATAATAATTACAATTCATTTTTGCATTGTTTGTTCAAATCTTCTTATTGATGTTTAGGACCGCGTTTAATCAGTGTTTTATTGACATACATGAATCTTGTGCGGATTTCCTCGATATTACTTGATTCGCAAGCATTATAAGCAGATATGGATAGTGGCTAGCAGTGGAATACAGGAGGCTCACTTCATCCTATTTGGGACTCATCAACTGTATGTACCTGCATCCCAGAATTGATGTTCATCATGGCACTCGAGCCTAGTACCGTTCACTTCAAAGGGCATCGCAATATCCACTTAGCTACCGAGTCCTGATAGCCATTAGCTTGTGAAAGGTAATGATAATGATGGATTAAGGCCATAGTACATTTAAGAACAAGACGTACATTTTTTGTGCATGTAGTTATGTCTTCATTTCATGGAAGGTAAGATCTTCTGTTGTTTTAATAAGTTGTGAATGAAGAAATCTTGGTAGTTACGGACGAATTATATAAGCAACCTAAAAATCAACCTGTGGATCAGTAGCGTAACTAGGATCGACTTGTAGTGGCTCGTACCATGTCAAACCCACATAGGCTATTCGAACGTCTGGACAAACTAGCTTATTCATTCTTCTTGACCTTGTCATTTATTCGCTTATTAATCCTGACTTTTTTATATGATCGTATATGTGTTAATTACTCACCCTATTCATCAAGCGTCTGTAATTTATTTTTGTCCGAATATAAATGTTGAATCTCGCTTGATCAAAATCGGGTTGACTCACCTACCTTCTCCTCTGAGCGTCGTTTCGCTTCGCTCCCTCCTCTTCGCTTTCTCCGCTTCATTTATCTGATCGTTTGTCTGGATCAACGATTGTGTGAAATATACATATTCAAAACCATTTCTCGTATTTGACTCTTTCAATTCCGTTATTCACTAACGCGAGTGAAGTCGATAATTATACTGAGGGTAGCTGGGATGTGTATTTCTATGACAATCATAATACGATTTAATAGAAGTCAGATAAAGAGTCACACTAAAAGTGGTGGGCCCATCGATAACATCATTATCCAGTTTACTTGGCATTAAATATAGAGCCACTAAAGATTAAATATTCCTGAACAGAACTCTTAACTCTTTTCTTTCACCTTTATAGAATCACACTGGAACATGTTATCATATCTGAGTTAAGAACGAGCGCTGGCTGCAGCCTATGTACCTTGCTCCACAAGAGCAAATGAACTGGTAGATGCACATAGGGGCAACTAGATGTGGGAACTTAACCTTTACGCATACGGTGAACAAATTTCTACTAGTAAACTTTAGTCTCAGCTTTATCGCACATCTATCGATAGCCGATTTCCAAATGCATCAGAATTTCGGTCACCCTTAAATTCCGGATTCATACAAAAATATTTCTTTGGGACAGAATTTCCGGATTCCTTGCTCCGAATTTCCTTCATGTTTTCTACAAAGCGGCTTGCATAACCGACTTCAGCCATCGTTTTTCTGAGAAACTCAAGTTTTCAGTGCATTTAGTACCATAGATCGTATTTATCTGGTAACACAAGTAACGAATAAGATTTCTTTTTCTACTTAATGGAACACAGCTATAGAAGTTGGTTAGTTGTGCATTCCATGTTTATGTTTCTGTAAATGAACCTTTTTAAGGTTTCATCACCCTTTGTCAGAAGCATATCGTGAAGTGAGATAAAATGGTCTGCTTCATTTTCTAAAGTAAAGTCTCGGAAAGTATGGTATGTATTGAAAGAACTCAAAATGTCGATTAAGTCAATATTTTCGTTGTAAATGATAAAAGTGTCGTCTTTATATCTTTTGTTCAGGTTAGATCAATCGATTACCGAGTTAAATTGGTTGTTTTCTAGTTTCAATATGAAACAGTCTGCTAGGACTAAATTATCTACTGACAAATTTCACTCTTTTTATTCACTAATTGTGATTTACGGTAACATTTAAAGAAAGATTTCCACTGCCCAATGGATGAGTACAGTTGTTTTGTAATTTTTTAAAGCATATTGTATTAAGTCGATAATGGTGATGTATAAATAAATATGGACTGTGAATTTGGATTACCTTTTGCTAATTTAACTTCATAGTTCAAATTATGTTTAAACTATGACAAATTCGTATAACAATAGTAAGGTTGTACAAATACTGTTTGTTGTTTTTATTTATTATTTAGAACTGATGAACTTGTAATATGCCCATTGAAACATCCTTCACAGTACAGTGCATTTTCCTTACCTTCAAAGTTAGGATGCTCTGGACTTGCTTGGCATCCAAACGATCCCACAAAACTTGCGATTGCAGTAAGTCATAGCTGTTTACCTTCTATCCAATTTTTTAAATAACTACGAAAGCTCCCCGACCAAACCATCCAGCTCAGAGAACAAAACTTCACCAAAAGCTACGCTTCTCATCTTACTAATTTCTGATCTCTATTATACGAGATTTTACAACCTGGATCAGTACTTATTCGTCCTAGGTCCTAAATTGTTCATAATTGACTAACTTCTTAA